TCATAAATAAGGATCTCTGTACTTGTAATTCTGTGAGCACTTGAATAATAAAAACCCTAGTTGCAAAGTGGATTAGGTCAGCCGACCGAACCACTATAAATCTTGTGTTCCGTTTTTCTCCGTTTTGATTTCTGGTTTGTGTGTGTTCTTGTTTGGTTGTGGTTTGCTATTCAGTATTCATAGATACCCCAACATGAACAGCCCCAATAAACAAAATGAAATTAGTCATTTTGTTAATAAGTATGATATTTATGTATTTGGTATGTTAGAAACAAAAATTGAATTTGATAAGTTTAAGGATATTGAGAATAGGATCTTCAGAGGATGGGGCTCTTATATCAATCATCAGGAACATAATCTAGGAAGAATCTGGGTAGTCTGGAGAAATGACAAGGTTATGCTCCAAATTGAGGAAGTTACACATCAACTGGTGCATTGTAAATGTAGGAAGCTGGGAGAGCAAGAGTTCTTTTACTTGATTTTTGTTTATGCACATAATGAGATTACGAAAAGGAAGAGCCTATGGGACAATATATATATATATATATATATATATATATATATATATATATATATATATGTATATATATATATGTACATATATATATATGTATGTATGTATGTATGTATGTATATATATATATATATACAACAACAACAACAACAACCCAGTTGAATCCCACAAGAGTAGGGTCTGGGGAGGGTGTGTGTACGCAGACCTTACCCCTACTCGAAAGTAGAGAGGTTGTTTCCAAAGAGACCCCCGGCTCAACGTTGAAAGTCGCATTGCTTGACTAACTGCTACTTCATTAATTAAAGAAGCGCAGACAGTTTAGAAATCCATTTTGATTTATTCCATCACACTCCAAAGCCAAAAAATGGTGAAATTTTGGCTCCATCGGAGATGATGGAATATATATATATATATATATATATATATATATATATATATATATGTATGTATATGTATGTATGTATGTATGTATATGTGTATGTATGTATGTAAATATATGTATGTGTGTGTGTGTGTATAAATATGTATGTATGTATGTATATATATATATATATATATATATATATATATATATATACGTCACAAGTTTAAGTCAAATATTTTTAAACATTTTAAATTAGGCTTTCAAAATAATTGGGCTGCACTAAAAAAATTGGGCTTTTCAAAACTTTAAAGGGGCCCTAGCGTCAAGGCGAGTAAGGCGACATAAGGTGACATAAGGCGAAGTAAAGCGACGCCTAGGCGAGCGCCCGAATGCCTGAAGGTTTTCTGGGCGAGCAGACTAGGCGTCCAAGGGATAGCACCTTATCGCCTAAGCGACGCCTTACAAACTATCAGAGATGAGATTCCTAAAATTTTTGTTGAATTCTTTCAAGAGAATTTGGGGAAAACCAACTGGACAGAAAAGATAGAAGAAGGTATTGTCAGAAAGGGTAAGAGTCTTACAGTTAGTCAACAACTGTCACTCATATCTCCTATTACAGCTGATTAAGTTAGAAAAAACCTTTTTAATATCCCTAATTCTAAAAGCCCATGCCCAGATGGCTTTAGTAGTGGGCTCTTCAAGAAACAATGGGAAAAGGTTGGGTGTTTGTATACCAATGTTGTGCTGGAATTCTTAAAGAATGCTGACACTCTAAAACAAGTAAATGCCACTAATATCACTGTAATACCAAAAGTGGAGGAGCCTAAATCACTTCTTGAATTTCGACCAATCTCTTGTTGTCACGTGCTGTACGAAACCATTTCAAAGATCTTGTGTGAAAGAATCAAGAAGATATTGCCTGAGATTGTTAATATAAACCAGGGGGCTTTCATACAGAGGAAAACTTTAGTCCACAATGTTCTGTTATGTCAAGAACTATCCAGAGGCTACATGAGAAAAGGAATTTCTCCGAGGTGCATGATGAAGATTGACCTAAAAAAGCCTATGACTCTATAATCTGGAAAGGTCCATTTCAGCTGCTACATTGCTTGAAGTTTCCCTCATTGTTTATTAGGTGGATTTCTTACTGTGTGACAAAGTCAGCTTATTCTGTGCATCTAGATGGGGAGGTTTTGAGATACTTGAAGGGGGTAAGGGCTTAAGGAGATCCAATTTCCTCTCTTCTATTTCTCCTGATAATGGAATATTTTACTAGAACATTTTATGCTGATATAAATAAGTTCAAATTCCATCCTGTGTGAAAGCTTGAATATCATCAATCTAGTTTTTGCAGGTGATCTTATCATTGTTTGCAAAGCTGAAGCAGATTCTGTGGGTATTATTATGAAGGCGCTTGAACACTTCAAGGATATACCACTGGTCTCCAGATTAATTTTGATAAATCTCAAGTGGCTGTAGGAGGTATTAACTCTCAGAAAGAAATCATTCTAAACATTACTAAGATGAGTAAAGGTGCCTTCCCTTTCAGATATCTAAGTGGGCCAATCAGTGCTTCAAGAATAAGTAATAAAGAATGTGACAAGCTAGTGGAAAAACTGACCACAAAAATTTCTTCTTGGGCTACTAAACATATGTCTTTTGCAGGAAGAGTTAATCTCATTAACTCAATGCTGTTTGGAATTAATTCTTTCTGGTGCAGGCTCTTTGTCATTCCATCTAATGTTAAGCAAAAAATACAAGCTATTTGTAGAAATTTCTTATGGAATGCTACAAGTGAATACAAAAGAAGCCCTCTAGTGAGTTGGGAGGAATGCTCTAAGAACAGAGGTGGGTTAGGGCTTAAAAACATATCTGGAATAAAGCTTCTATCATGAGCTTGATGTGGGACGGGGATAAGAAAAAGAACACTCTTTGGGTTAGATGGGTGCACGACAGTCATTACATTAAACAGGGGAATGCATGGGATTGCACTTACAAATCCACACATTGCTTTTACTGGAAGAAGCTCCTACAAATTAGAAATAATTTCCAGAATATGAACTCTGATGCTGAGTATACAGTGAGAGGTGGTTATAGATGGCTTAGGGGAGATGGACCTAAATGTAAGTAGAGTGAGCTGGTCTGGAATGGATGGACAGTCCCTAAGCATAGATTCATCTTTTGGCTGCTATGTAGAGGGAGGTTACAAACCAAACAAAGACTGAGTAAATTCCTTTCATATTGACACCACTTGTACCTTCTGTAGCCATGCAATGGAAGATGCAACTCACTTGTTTACACAATGTGAATTTGCGAAAGGGATTCTAGGTAATCTGGCCAACTGGGTAAGGGCAGATTTTACAGCCAACTCAATGGAGGGAATGGAGAATAAATTGTTGAAAATCAATCCAAAGAAGAGGAAGGAGATCACTGCCGTCTATGCTGCTGGGATCTATGCTATTTAGAGATGCAGGGTTGAAGTCCTATATAACAAAGAGAAGAGAAGTGTGCAAGAAGCCTGCAGTTGGATCAAATATCAAGTTCATACTTGTATGCTTAAGAAGTGTAATCACATGATGTAGTGTTTTGTTTATCCTGTATGAGTTTTGTAGCTTCTTATAGTGATGGTGTAATATGACATTGTTGATGAGTTGATATATAAATCCCCCCCCCCCTCCTACCAACTCAAAAGACCTTAGCTCAAGCACAAAACTCAAAAGACATGGGTTAGTATGGGTTAAAAAGTAATATAATACCCCTCAAAGGCCATGCTGTAGCACCTGGTGGCCAACCAGAAGTCCTCACCAATAGCTCTGTAAAGATCATAGCATGATACAGCACTCCTAATCTGCAGATTGTAATACAAACATCACACTATTTAAATTTCTTATTCAATAATTCTAAGAAAACGTTATTCTAGAGAAATATTATAACATAACTGAACACAGTAGGAAATAACAAGAGTTAGAAAAACTGCTCCTTGTTCAGATAGATTTGGGGTCTGAGTTAAATTCCTTGGAATTAAATTACAATATACTACATGAATGATTGTGAATTAAATAAAAGATAAAAGCACATTTGAAATAACGGGAATTCACTCAATTTCAAGAATTTGAGAAAATCCCATGGGCATTGTGCTGACACATGACTCAAATTTCAGGAATTGGGATTTCCAGGAATAAGGAGCATACATCATTCTCGAGAATAAGAGTACTCCTAGCAATTGAGTGCCTATCCAAATGAAGCCTAAATTTGAATTTTGCACAATGTGGTGCAGTGTGAGAAAAAAACTTCTTGCAAGTTATTAAAGCAGCAATATAATTTTCATGTTGTTTCATTCGCTTATCAACATGGTGAAAATGATCATTCTAGAATAAACAACACATGCAACTCACCTCCTCTAACTTCCTATGCTCAGAAAGATCAAGAATGTTGCTATTCTTGTCAAATACATACTTATTCTCCTCAATTACTGCTTTGGCAGCATTCAGTGTTCTGCATGATAAAAAGTGTCAAGCGCTTCTGTAAAAGGATCAGCACGTGGCAGTAATAAAAGGTGCAATTAAGGATGGCAGTGACAAAGTGAGTATCACAACGCATCCCTCCCACTTGGGGCGGGTATGTGTGATTTTTCTGCAGGTGGTAGAACCGGTATGGACAAAACGTGTACTAGGGTGAGTATGGGTTTGAACTCTCTGCCGCCGAATCCCTACCTGCCCCATTTCATCCCCACTTGTCCCCATCTATTATCCACCCACCATACTTCCACCTAGACGTGTTAAATAGGTCGGTCAGGTCATGTTTGGCACTTTCAGGTTTGGATTAATCCAGGTTCGACTCGATAGATGCTTGTCCATGGCCCAGAAGGATCAACCCCCAATGGATGTGACTGTGTTGTTTATAAAATATTTAAATGTAAACTAGCACATGTATTGTGCATAGTAATTGTAACAAATCATTACAAAACATTGGTCTAATACGGAACATATTACTCCCCGGAACCAACTAGAAGGCTAGCAATGTTGTGACGTGTGTGGCAGAACGCCATACCACCTAGGCAACGGCATGACAACTGTGGTCCGTTCTACAAATATTGTCTCATACCATATCTAATAACATTTGTCTAGTTCATATCCATTCTTATTTTTCTTTATCTAATATCAACCACTAAATTCCAAATTTTTGATTTGTGTGCCACTACTCTATGCCCCAAAATTAGTGGGACAAAGGGAGTATAAATTTATCAAAATCTTTTCTATTGTAGTTCTAATAAATTTTTTAGAGTAACTCCAAGTTATTGTAGAGAAAATACAAGTTTTAAACATATAAAATGTGCAAAAGACTAATGCAACAATAAAAGTCATTTAAAAATTGGTTAAAAAAGAAAATAGTATACATTACAATGCAAGAAACATGTTTCAAATCAAAGTGCATCATTTTGGAAAAACACTTACATGAACAGATCGGTCATATTGGGTTTGGTCGAGCTTAACTCACTTTAGTGGGTCATTCTGGGTTCAATACACAATAACCAATTCAAACCCCATTATTTTTAGGTCAAAAACAGGGTAAGAGTCAAAGTTTGGCAGGTCCACTCCCGCTAATAGATATTAAAATTCTTATTCTAACTAGTTGGATATACATACATACATACATACATACACACACACACACACACACATATATATATATATATGATGGCCGTTGTAGGGTTCCTAGAGAGGGGGAGGGGATCTGGGCGATGGAAGCGTGATTTCCGACGGGGAAACGGCGATGGAGAATGACGATGGCAATATAACATCCGAAGGTTTTCAGGTCAACAGCCATATTACGGTGGGGAGCGAGGTGATTTCTGGTCAAGAATTGAGGGCAGACCAAGAAATCTCAAGACCTTTGACACTTTTCATTCGGTCCAATTCAGAGTCGGTTCATACTCTAAGGGAGATACATACAAGTGCTACTACGGTCCAACACATGACGGCTCAGCCACCTTTTCTGTTTCCATTGAAAGCAAGGACTTTATTTTCAAATCTTCTGATGGCCTACTCCACATATCCGAATCCAAAAAAGGTATCTATCATACCATCTCTGTATCGCAATCTGCTTGCTTATGGTTAATAAAAAATCTAAGCTGCCAAAGAAGAGGATGGTTGATTAGCAGGTTTGAGGGGGAATCGTCACTAAAGATCTTTTGGGATTCAAATGGGTTGGAGACTTTATACGCATCTCACAGACAGGAGACGGATCCCATAAGCAAATTTTCATACCAGTTGGAACCGCAAGGTTAGATTTCAAACTATTTCACAAGGCCCTTAAAGGTTTGACAACTTTTCTTGGTGAAAAGGGACTGGGAGAGGAAATGGTTAAGGAGATGAATGTTTCGATGACCAGAGATACCACATTACCTCAGTTAAAGCACACCAATGGGGAGGAACAGATAATAGATAGGTGTAAGAAAGATGAGCAAGTGCAGAGTATCTCAATCTCAACCGAATTACTGGAAAGGGATATAGCACAGGCTGCCAATGGGATTGCCTATCAAAGTTTATCTAAGGGGAAATTGTAGATGGCCTGACCAAGGAAGATATTGACGCAAAAAAGGTCTTTGCTCCAATTTTCCAAAGCTACTTTGAGGCTGTCCTTAGAGAAACAGAGGACTATATTCGGGAAAAACTTGCACAAAAAGAATTCTTGGAGCTTCTTAAGAGGGGTCTCATCCAAGATCAAGCAGGGGTAACCTATAGGGTAACAAGGGAGATTGTTAAAAGTATGGAAAATGTGGATTTGGTATACATAAAGGGCACTAAATACCCAGTTTTTTTGGCCTACTCAAACTTCGACGCGGAGGCTGTTACGGCTCACAACAGCGGGGATTTGCAGTAGAATGGTTAAAAAAGTTTCTCAAAGAGGAATAATGCTTCTATGTTGAAGTATCATCATCAAAAAAATTTCCAGACCACTCAACCTCTTGGGCTTTTCATGTCATTCTGGTCTTGGTTTACGTTTATGGTTGGCTTTTCCTATTCTTATAGTCAACCAGGTCTTGGGTTTTAGGTTTGGTACTAGGTAGTTTTAGATGTGGTGGTTGGATAGCTAGGCAGTGATGACCTTTTCGCTTCAATTCGCTTATTTTCTGGGTATTGGATGCAGAGTATAAGTTTTCTGTTGTCTCAAAAGATTTGAGGGGTTATGCTTTATGGGCTATTACGTCTTGGCCGATATGATTCTCATTCATATCAGTTCTCCTGCTGTTTTCTCTGGTCATTATTGGAAACTCTGCATTGTTATGTTTTATCTCATCTCATCCTTGTTGAGATTGTGAATGCAGTGGATCACTAGAATACCTGCTTAGTATCTTAATTACTTGCTGCGTTTTTGGATCGAAATTGGCTTGAATCCAACAATGGATAGAAGTTGAAAGGGGAGGAATCTAGCATCTGGACCTGAGCATTTGTTTGCTNCCCCCCCCCCCCCCGACTAGTGGCCCTTTTCACAGCTTTATTTCCATCATTTGGTGCCTTTGTTTTTTTCCTGTTTGGGCAATTGTATTTCGGCCGTTTGAATTTTGGCCTGGGCATGTGCTCATCTTACTATTGTACTAGCACTTTTACTCCTTTTGGCCTTTTATGTTTTGGCCGAACTGTAGGGGTTAGGCCACCCCTTCATGTATGTATGTATGTATGTGTATATATATATATACACACACACACACATATACCTACACACACACACACACACACACACACATATATATATATATCTGTGGAATCGACTCTAGTCAGATGGCACCTCACGGTAAGATGACATGCTACGGTCAGATGACACAAAGCTCACCACTGATCACTGCAAAGCTCACCAAGGACAACTACGAACCTCACCATGATTTTTTCACACTTTGAATTTTTAAAGTTTCAATGCTCACAAACTCAAGCCAAAAAGCTCACCATTCTTCATTGCAAAGCTTACCGAACATACGCACGAAGCTCACCAAATTTTTACGTTGAAAAATTGAAAAAAAAAAATTAAAGCGTGACTTGGACCACCATTGACCGACGACCGGCGGCAGAGACCGGCGGGGGTGGTCAAGGCGGCGGTCAGCGCTCAAATTTCAGTGGTCAACATGGGTCAAAATCAAAGTCAGCACCTTTTTCTTTGATTGTTTTCAAGAAAAAATTCATAGTATAAAAAATTATAAGCTTTGCCATACATTCTCGTGAGCTATGCAGTTGGTGTCGGTGAGTTTTACTGTTGGAGTTGGTGAGCTTTGCATTATCTGACCGTAGCATGTCATCTTACCGTAAGGTGTACTGGAGTTGATCTCTCTCTCTCTTTATATATATATATATATATATATAGGGAGAGAGAGAGATTTTGGTTCACGTGAAAATGAGATCTTATGAAAGAAATAAGAATGAATGTGGTGCTTTAGAATGTGAGATCTAAGTGCCATAAAAATTTGAAAAATAAGAAAAAATTAAGAAAAAATGCGGTGGCAATTCTATAATTAAATCAAACTTTGTAAAATGCACTACCTGCTTTGAAAAATGCACCATAACGAACTACCTGCTTTTAGAAATGCATCTTTGGCGAACAAAAATGCACCATTCTCATTTCTTTCAACAAGGTCCATTCTCACAAGAACCGGCCCCTATATATATATATATATATATATATATATATATATATATATATATATATATATATATATGTGTGTGTGTGTGTGCCGGTTCAGGTGAAAATGCATCTAGCCTTTGGATCTGATGCATCGTGCGGCTCTGATTGCATCCTGCACTCAGATTTTGAGATAGTGCATTTTTAAAGGATTTTGGTGCATTCCGACATGATGCATTTTGAAACCATTTTGGTGCACCTAATTTTCATGCAATCCTGACCCTTAGATCTCACAATCTAAGGACGGTGTATTCAATCCAGATTTTAATAGATTCTGATACATTGTTTAAAATTCATTGATTCTATAAAATCAATAGATTATTTTAAGTCTACGTAGAGTTAGATGGATTTTAATTTATTTTTAAGAAGGATTTCTTATGATTCTAACAGATTATTTGTAATCAATGAATTATGTATATATAAACATTTTTCTTTTTCTTTTCTTTTCTTTTATTTTTGAACACTATTTTTCCATTATTTTTCAATTCTTTTCCCTTTCTTTTTCCTTTTTTCGTTTTCCTTACTTTTTCCCTTCTTCCCCCACGGTCCCTTCTTTCCTTTTCTTTTTCTCTTTTCCTTTTTCTTTTTTCTTTTTCTTTTCTTTTTCCCTTGTTCTCCCACAAACCCTAGCCGCCGCCATTCTTCTTTTTTTATTGTTTCTTTCGTTTGCCGGCTTAACTCCCACGCCGCCGCCAACGCCACCATTGTCGCCACCCAGATCCTTGGCAAAGGCACCATCGTCGCTCCCCATCGCCGCCGATGCCACCATCGTCGCTCCCCGTGCTAAAAAACCGATCCTTGGCAAAGGCATTTCTTACGTCCCAAAGGCAGTTCACCACTGCCTCTCTTCTTATTCTTCTTTTTTCCTACGCTGAATAATAATTTCAGAAAAGAAACTGATAGAAGAAAAGAAAAGAGGAAAAGATGAAGAAGAAAGGAAGAAGAAGAACAAAGAAGAAACAAGGAGATGATGAAGGAGAGATGAAAAAGAGAGGATGAAGGGGAGACGAAGAAAACGGTGGGAGGAAGAAGATGGTCGGATGAAGAACGTAAAGAGTTTACGAAGGAGTTTATAAAATCTGTGGCTTTTGGGTGAGATTTGGGAATTGATTTATATTTATACCCAATGCTTAAGAATCCATCAAAATCTACATTTTTAAAAATCCTTAAAAATCTATCAAATTTTTGAATACCATCATATTTAGAAGGACTTTTAAAAATCTCAATTGAATACATTCAGATTTTAAATGACTTTTTAAAATCTGAATTGAATACCTACAGATTTTCAAAATCCAAAAAAATCCATCAGAATCCTGATTGAATACACCCCCCTAAAGCACCAGATTCATTCTTGTTTCTTTCATAAGATCGCATTCTCACGAGAACAAAAATCTATATGTGTGTGTGTATGGGAGCATCTAAAATGCCACCAGTTGCTTACACCAGTTTGTTTGGGGTACCTACGGTACCCGAATTATAAAAAGGATTGTTCTTACCCCCGCCTAACCATCCCCCTAAACCCCCCCCCACCCCATCCCCACTCTCGCCCCACTCCCTACCATGGCAGTAACTGGTGTAAGCAAATGACACCAGTAGCACTGGTGTCATTTTTGACTTACTATATACTACCTCCGTCCCAGTGTATTTGTCCAGTTTGACTTTTTCGAGTCAAACTGGACAAACTTTGAACTCCAATTATTCAGAATTTATATTGCATATTAGCATAATGAAATACAATTTTGAAAGTTCTCAATACGATAAATCCAATAAAGTCATTTTTGTGTTAAAATACATTACAGTTTTTATTTAATTGAAGCTCAAAGTTTGTCGAGTTTGACTCGAAAAAGTCAAACTGGACAAATACACAGGGACGGAGGGAGTGTGTGTGTGTGTGTGTGTGTGTGTGTGTATATATATATATACACACACACACACACACATATAGACACACACACACACATATATATATATATATATGTATATATATATATATGTATATGTATATATATGTGTGTGTGTGTGTGTATACATATCTGTGTTTGTGTGAGTGTGTGTGTATAAAAAGTCAGGGTAAAGGGTTGGGTAATTGATTAATGGCCTAATGGGTACCCAAATGAGGGGCGGGGGGGTTTGGTTTTAGTTTTGTATCCAATAGAGTACTTGTGGATGCTAAAACTGATTTAACACATCGGTAATGGGTAGATTGTGGGTATGGGTATGAATTAACCTACATCGATTGCAACCCCAGCCCATTTACATAATTACATCCCTAAATGCATTACAGACATACCTCTCAAAATGTGGATAGTAACGGACCACCTTAGCTTGCCCGAGAATGAGGGGAGTGTGAGACCCAAATCCAGAATTGAATTTCTCACTGTGGACAAAAATAATCTCATGAAAACCGAAGTTGTAACAAATTCAAGAGAAAATTCATTTGTCCACATGAAGCTGCACCTAATTCCAGGTAACAGTGGAATTAATCAATTTCATTCAGGAATCTTTCCACTAATTTGTCCATTAACAGTTGGGACTCAAACATATGCTCATAATATGATTGGGAAAAAAAGTGAAAGAAAAGGCCGCTGTAGAAACATTAATGCCTATACTATTCAATACTCAACATTAAAACCTAAAAGTAAAAATAACAGAGTAGGTGGAGTTTTATGAATTTACAATTTTTGTCTTTCCGGTCAAAATTACACAGATTTTTCACCTACAAATACACCTCAACCAAATTAGCCCTCAATAGATAAAAGATGCATAAAACAGAATATTAACCCAAAAAAAATATAATTAAATAAGCCCAGTATATCCCACACAAATAATACCTAACACTAGCAAACTTAAAAAGAATCGACCCTGTATTTATCAAGGAATGTAAAGCAGCACATCTTTCTACAAACAAGGGATCAATATTCAATTAAAAGGTGATTAGACCGTTCTAAACCTCATGTCTCCTTTGCACGAGCTAAAACTTAAGCAACATCACAGCCAATATTTCTTCCAATGCAAGTGAAGGGAAAAAGAAACAGGGTTTTCCGTACCTTAACTTGTTTATCCAAACAACTGGATCACAAGGTTCAGATATTTGTCTCCATTTAACAGCTAAAGAATACAAATCATGCCACGACATCACATGCCGTCCAGCTGGTCTGTCATCAACTGATCCATATGAAGTAGATGTTTCTGAGAAACTGCTAGTGCTACAACCAGCACCACCTCTGTTTTGACTAAGATGAAATATCCTTCCCTTTCTCTGGGACCTCTTGCCACTTTTAGATGCTCCTTTACTCAAATGTTTCAATTCTACATGCATAGCACGCCAAACTCTTGATATTTTTTGTGCAATCTCAATTGCAGCCAAGCCAGCCATGCGATGCTGATAATTGAGATTTCATGGGAAGGATGATTTTAGAGAGAGAAATGATTCATCAATGCACAGTGACAAATAAAAAAGCACAAAGGTGGGGCCTCAAATGGTTGGACAATAACAAATGTCTACTTCCAGGTGATGCAACTCTACCACACAACAACAACCGAGTTGGAGTTTAGGGAGGGTGTGTGAACGTAGACCTTACCCCTACTTCAAAATAGGGAGGTTGTTTCCAAGAGACCCACAGCTCAAGTAACACAGACATCACAAGCTCACAGAAGACACAATAAAGAACAAACTAATATTAATGAAGAAATTGCACAACAAGCACAAAGCACCAAGCATAAAAAGCACACAGCAACAAGGCAACAAGGGAGAAAACTACCACCCTCCCCAAAATGCCTACCCTGTTGGTTAATTCCAGTCCAGAATTTAGTTTAAATTTAAAAAATAAATAAGAAAAAAAGGGGCAGGCAGTTAGGCAGGCAGTTTTATGACAGTTTCCAACAGATGTGTTGGTTAGTAACTGTTGTGTCTATTTATAATGGTTGTGTTGTTTAGTCCTCTATTTATATGTATGGAAACATAGTTCTGGACAGCAGTTCCACAATAATAAAATACTCTGTTTATATACTCCAGATCTGATTTTATTCTCTCATACCCAACTACCCTAATCCTAACTCTCCAAGTATTCCTATCTATGGTCATATCTTCGGTAAGGGCAAAGTCTTAGATCCTATCTAATCATCTCCTTCCAATTCTTCTTAGGTCTACCCTTCCCCTACTCTCACCAGTCACCACCAGCGCAAGCCTCTCACGTCTGCACTGGGGCCTCATTAATTTTCCGTCTCACATGCCCAAACCCCCTCAACCTAGTTTCCTGCAGTTTATCCTCCACAGGTGTCACTCCTACCCGTCCTCGGATAACCTCATTTCGAATCTTATCTATCCTCGTCTTTCCACTCATCAACCACTACATCCGCATGACTGCAGCGTGCAACTGGCGGATATGGGTCTTCGTAAACTGCCCAGCACTCATGACCGATTTAACTTACCTCTCATCCTAGCCGAAATCTTCTTAACACACAGTATCCTGAAGCCAACCTCCACTTTGCCCAAGCCGCTCTAACACCATGCGTAAAATCCTGTGCAACTCCCCATCCGTCTAAATGACTAAACCAATATACCAAAACTTGTCAACCTTGGGCTCTGGGGGAATCAATCCTAACTTTCACCTTTAATTCCATCACCCAGGTAGACCTAGGTGAGCTGGAGCAGTCAAAGAGGCATCGAGACTTTGGGTATTGCTGAGAAGTGGGGGGAGAGCCTGGGGGCTGGATGAGATTTCAGTGGAATTTTGGAAGTAGTGGGCAGCAGGGGGTTGGTTTGGATAACTAAGCTCTTCAAAGTTATTTTCAAGACGACTAGGATGCCAGGAAGGAGTGTGTTGGTCGTGATGCAACTCTACCATAAAACTAGAAAAACAACAATCTTAATTGTTTGGGTTTGGCTATCAACAAAATGAGTCATAGAATATTAAACTCTGAGAAATGTTAGTCCCTAGGTTAGTTGAAATGTTGAATCGAGATGTGACATGAAAGAATAGTATGCAAACAAAACCTCCAACATGATTATTTTTTTATACCACTACAAAAAGGAGCATATATGTTGATTGAAAGTGGAATGTATCATACAGAGAATTGGACAAGTCTATGTTCATGTTGTTTAATTGTATATAGTAAAAGACACCTTCGAGAGAAAATCTAGGCCATAGTGGCATACAAATGGTGTAGCACACTGAAGGGTTGCAAAACTTCATATAGAACCCTCAAGGAAAAATGTGCACGCAAATCTTGAGAATAAATCCTCAGGTTAATCACCTGACGCCTATTGGACAAGAAGCCCGGACAATGATATTGTATCCTCCTACCAATGGAATCTGCTGCCTGCAGAAGTGCATGTGTTTGCTTTGTAGGGGAAACATGTAGTGTTTTTAGTTTCCCCTTCTTCAAGGAATTCCTCAAGGACGGTTGCCTATAAACTTTTTCGCACACAACTTTCGGGTGGAATCTTTTGCACCAGTATTCCTATAGAAATAAGATGAGATAAAAAGGTAAGGGGGAGGCTGAATGACCATTAATAATAAACTAACAAAAATTAGGGAAAATGAAAATTAAATGTCAATTGGGCCACAATGGCGCATTAAAACTCCTCCGCTTCTTACTTTCTATGATGTTCGGGGTTTTGTTGTTGTTGTCAATTGGGCCATAAAAGACCTTACATATATCCATGTATAACTAAGAAACTATTTCACACAACAACTAAGATCCACACAAAACCAAAGTCCCAATATATAAATCTACAGTTAACTCTAAACAGGGAGCATATTGTGATAATTTATCTTGGACTAGCATGATACTAAAATTTTAAATTGTAAATACTGATTTAAATGGCATATAAAAATGGGGAATGCTTAGAAAAGAAACGGAAGAGATGGTGCTGCCTGAACATGGCTCATAAAAAATACTCCCTCCATTCTTTATTACCGTGCACTCTTTCTCTTTCCTCTTATGACTGTTCCATATTAGTGTGGACGATTCCTTTATTTTTAAGGGCCCACATAATTCTCTCCTACACCCCAACTTTTCCATTAACTCAAACCATTTCTATCCACATTAAACAATGCAACACAAATTTATACCTAACTTTTACTCTTAATCTACATGCAAGTCAAACTGTGTACTGTATTAAGGAATGGAGGGAGCATTATTTATCAAACAAAGAAAAGATACAGAGTAATCTGTAACCTTATCCATAAAAACATAAACATGCTTAAGAATTCGACAGATTCAATATTCAATATAAAACTACTCCCTCCATCGGGGAATTTTCATCCCAGTTTTAAGCCCGTCCGAAAATTATCTTCCCATTTCCCTTTTTGGTAACCAATTTTAATGTGAAAGACCTAAATGCCCTACACTTTTTTAAAAAATTTCCCCACCCACCAGGCCACCAATATACGTACTAATCATCCATCTTTCATTTACGCATCCTCCCTCTTTTTATTTCTCTAGATTCGTCTGTCTCTTTTGTTTTCCTTTTTTCCCAAGATTCTTCCATCTGCATTCTTCTCCCATGAAATACTGTTCGTCTTCCTCATGCTGTCGTCACCTCACCAAAAACCTAGCCACATGTTTTTTTCTCAGTTGAGACGTACCCTTTTTCTGAATCTTTTTCAGGATCTGAAACAATTTGTCTTTGAATGGATTCAGAAGGGATCTTGTTTCTCTCTGCTATTCCTGGAACCCAAATGGAGTGTCAAAGGCTAAGTAGCAAAGAGGGAGGGGAATCCTCATGTGGTGGTTCAAGAATCTTTGGAAGGCTTTGAGGATGCAAAGGCGTGGAGGTGCAGTCTGGGCAAACTACGAAATTGGGGAGAAGATGCTTCGAAATTTTAATTCCTTGATTCCATATGCATTTGTAATTTGATGCTTTTTTAATCTGTAAATCTGTAATAGAGTGCGGAGTAGTAATGAAAAATCAGCCCCCCCATTGGACTTATCTTAGTTCAAAAGAGGAGCAAATACTCTAAATTTTTAAAGTATGGGTATTCTTGGAAAGTTGGCATTTTTTCTACTCTTAAATAAGGGTGTCAAGTCAACACAGAAAGAAAATTCCCAGACGGAGTGATTAGTATGCAAAGGAATAGCAATATTTGCTATTTCACATACCTTAAATAGGGGATCAATATCTCCATCAATATCAAACCAACAAAACTCACTGTCGAGCTTTGAAGCTGTATACAGTGCAATTTCTTTCTGCAAGATGAAATTTTAAAATAAAATTGGTAATAGAGATTAAAACAAAACAACCAGAAAATACCACATACACCATCTAAGAGCAAGAATTAACATTCTGTAATAGAGTATAAGACCACAAGTTTAATTGACTTTGTAGTCAAAAAATTTTACTTTAAAGTCAACTAAACTTGCGGGGTGCAATTGACATGGGTGGAGGGATGGGTTAGGGTCGGGACTGGATGGGGGGGTTTACTGGGGGGTGGGGGATGGGTTATGAACGGAGTACCCTAGGTGTCTGAATCGGCCCGATATTATAAAACAGAGGCATCAAAACTGCATGCTTGAGTATAAGACCGAGTAAAAAGAATTTTACAAAGAATCAACTACCTGATAGAAGGCCAGGCACTGAAGTACAAATTTTTCCCTTGAATCTAATTCCAGATCTAAAGCAGCATCATAATCTTTCACCTGCAGCATAAATAAAAATCAGGAAAAATGAATCCAAGACAAATGAAAATAAAGGTTTCGGATCCTTAACCCAAAACAAGAAAACTTTCATACTGCATCTTTATATTCCCCAATGGCATGATAGCAAGAACCTCGCAAATACAAGAACTCAACATTTACACTATCAAGAGTTAGCCCCAGAGATAGATCCTCAATAGCCTGCCTGAAAATCAATGGATGCAATTAATCCATAGGTATACATTTTTGAACACCGAAAAAGTCTGTTCTTCAAACTCTTTTCTTCTAATTTTTGAAAAAAAAGACCACATTTGGAAAGGGAAAAAAATCTTTTGGAAACACTATTTTAAAAAAGGATAAAACAAAACATGTCAGCGGGTGTTTCAGCACAAAATAATCAAGCCCAATCCAAATTATATTGTACATCCGGATGTCCGTATATCCAATTCATTTTCTCCTTTATTGATGATATGATCATTATTCCTATAAAGTGTATTCAGTTCCTCAAGTCTTTTCCACTATGTTTGGTTTAAGGAATTTGGTAGGATAAGAAAAGAAAATGGTTTTCCCTCATTTTCCTCACCAAAATGGGAGGAATTTGGTTTTCCATCCTCTTAGTACATTTTGCCTTCTCTTTTTCTTTTCCTTCCACTTTTCTTTTCTTTTCCTCCCTAACCAAACAAGAAAAATATTTTCCTTCTCATTTTCTTTTCTTTTCCCCCTCAAATTCCTTGAACCAAACATAGTGTTCGTGTTTACATTTTTTATTCGGCTCATTTACCTTCTAACAAATGCTCATTTGAAAGCAAAGGAAACTCAATCTTCTTTTAAAGAATGCTCCAATGGAGATGCTAGACGCATCAATATCAGGGTACACCCAGATGTATTATATACGTCAATATAAGGATATAAAATGAATCATATGCCTATTGATAAGGTTGAGGCCTCCCTTTACTGATTAATAAAAGGGATGAACAATGTAAAAGATTATAAACAAAGTTAAGGGAATGATTGAACATCACAAATGATATCCTAGCTTCAACATAAACCAAAATTCTTTTTAAACCACCTTCAATAACTATTACTCCATATTTTCTCATAGAAGAGTCTAAGGATTACCACCTGTGGTCTCCGATGTCATGGAGAAGCAGCCCACGCATATGATATCCTTTAGAAAACCTAATCCCATTTGAAAAAAGGCCCGTAAGTTTTGAAGCCTTACATTAGGCATTTGATCATATCAGAATCTTAATTATTAATAGATCATAAGCACATTCAGATTTGAAAAACTAAATGCACAAATGTACCAGCATACCCCCCATTAACTTGCAGAAGTCGATGAAGGCATTCCAAAGCCTTCGCAGCATTCGCTAAATCTTGATAAAGCTGCCATAAAATACAGGAAATCAGCAATGCTGAAACGACTGGAGATAATACAACAGAGCCATATAACAATATTCATAAAAACGAACAAGATGTTCATATATGATTAAAAATCCAGGCCAATGCAATCGTCAATCACACAGAAAACTTTTGTAGTGCATGAACATTGTGATAGAATGTAGAAAGAAACTAGAAATACTAATATGTAGATTCATTCACCTAGAAAACTGAGTTCCTTTATTATACATCCAGATGTGCAGTTCGTTTGGCACATAGGGATTTAGAAGTTACACAATACTTATTTCACAGACTTATTCCTTTGCATTCACTTAGAGCATGCATTATTCTTATAATCACTATTATTATTATTACTATTATCATCATTATCATTATTATCATCATCAAAATACATCATCATCATCATCAAAACGTTCTTTTGACATTGAGATTCAATGTCATATAATGACATGACATCGGGCACCCAAGGCGCTCCGTTCCGGAAAGTGGTTCCCCCCACTCTCCATTTTGTCGTTTGGCTATAGTTTTACGGCAGCCAAATGGCGAAATAGAGAGGGGGCCAAGGGTATGGGGTGGATGGCAGGAGGTAAGGGGATGAGGGGGTAGAAACCACTTTTGGGCCAAATGGAGCACCATAGGTGCCCCAAATGGACCAATGTCATAACATGACGTTTGGGGCCAATGTCAAAAGAACCTGACATTATTATTATTATTATTATTATTATTATTATTATTATTATTATTATTATTATTATTATTATTATTATTATTATTACTACTACTACTACTATTATTATTATTATTATTATTCTTGTTGTTGTATAAGATTGAACTTTCATAAATATTGCATACCTGAGCTAAATGAACCCAAGCCTCCAAAAAGTTAGGGTCTATGTGAATTGCCTCCATGTGTGCGTCCTCCGCCTTTTTATATTCACCAATTGAAGCTAATGCTAAGCCCTATAAAGGTTTACATTCATTAAAAATTTAAAAGCAACAAACTGTCATGCATCTCCAAAGAGATGCATGGAAACTTAATAGGTTCTACCAGGAATAGTATTTAACAGATATTCTAGACGCACCAAATAAGTGTGTGCAGATTTGTTACCCTTATCAAGCTTGACACAGGAGGAAAGGTCTTCAGCAGCAGCTTTGAAATCTTTGAACTTAAAGTACACCATTCCTGCAAAAAAATCAATTGCCACATTGCCCATATATTCAAAACCTGGAGTACTTGTGTGGTTGTTCCATGATAAGAATGGGATATACTCTCATTAAATGTTGTGCAATGTCAGCCGGCATGATGGTGATGATGATGATAATAATAAGAAGAAGAACAATATTAATCATGAGTAGTAACAACAACAATAAGAAAAATAATTTGAAGGATATGGAGGGTATTCCGAAAAGAACCTCTCTACCTTTTCTAGGTGGGGTAAGGTCTGTATATACCAACCCTCTCTAGACACCACTCTTTTAAGTGGGACTCTATTGGGTATGTTGTTTGAAGTGATCATGTGAAGGATATGGAGGTCGAAAAATAAAAATAAAAATAAAAATAAAATAAAATATAACATGGACATACCCAACTGTGCAATATAGTTTACAAAAAGAATAGAAGAACATAAAGGTCTCTCAAACATTCGTACAATGGAAACGAAACCTAAGATACCCAAGAATGCAAATTTCATTATGCAATTGTGATATAAGACAAGGAAATTACCCTTTTCATGTAATATATCAGCTGAGTTTGGCTCGAGTTCCAAAGCTTTAGTCAAATCTGCAACTGCCTGACATTAAAGATAATCACATATCTCATGAAAAGTATAAAGACTTCTGCATTTAATATGGTCCTCAATCACAAAATCGTTCTTTTTAACCACCACTATGTCCTTAATGGGGAGAGGACTATGGTATCCTGATATTCTGATAAGAATCTCACCTCAGCAGATTCCCCAAGTGCAGCACGGGCCTGTCCTCTGCGTTTCCATGCTTCAGCGGCCGATGGATTTGAGTCTATGGCCTGCCGGAACAGCAAAAAAGTCATAATCATGGATTTGGCAATTGTTCTGCATAGCAGTTAAACAGTTGAAGATGCACATACCATTGTAAAATCAGAAATAGCTGCATCAAGTTCTCTCTTAAATGCATATGATGTGCCCCTTCCTATTAATGCCTCAGGGTATGTTGGATGCTCTTCCAGAATCTGTGTCGAATATATAAGTGAACATTTATAGATATTAGATAATAGCTCGGCATGCCAAATATGTATCTTCTTTTAAATTAAAAAGCTATATAAAATAGGAGTAACTTCCCAAAATAGTCCTCTCTAATGAGGTGTTTTCCCAAATCAGTCCTCAATAAGTTTTAATTGTCTATGTGTTCCTCTATAATTGAGATTCATTCCCTAGATCCTTCGTAAATACTGTTACTCAAATGATGATTAATTAGGGGTATTTTTGGCATTTTTATCAGCTAAATTTAGAACAAGTTCTTAAAATGGTCATTTCTAATGAAGTGCTTCCCTAAAATGGTTTTTCTAATTAAAGATGTGTATTTGATTCAAATTTTAAAATATTTTTATAGGTTTTTTAATAATTCATGGATTATGTAGTCAATGTATTTTTTTTAATTTTACATTTAACTGTATAGGACTTACCATTTCGAGAATATACTTTAAATTTAGATGATAGAAATACCAAAATACCCTTTAATTAATCATCATTTGAGCAACATTATTTACGAAGGACTACGGACTACCCGAGGAATAAATCTCAATTATAAAGGACCACATAGGTAATTATAACTTATTGAGGACTGCTTTGGGAAAACGCCTTATTAGAGAGGACCATTTTGGGAATTTACTCTAAAAAAAGTTAGTGTATAACAACAACAACAACAACAACAACTCAGTTGGACCCCGCGAGACTACGAGAGAAGGGTCTGAGGAAAGATAGTGTATAAAGATATGTAAATCCAAATTAGCAGTACAAACAGCAGTAAAGTGAATACCAACCTGATCAAAGATGGATATAGCATCTGCAAATCTTCCTTCATTAACCTGAAATGCACAGAAAATACATACTTTTACCTTCACAGTAAGATGGAATCATTGGAAAAGGTTATATAACTCAATTAGAACTCTTTGGCAACTCATATCAATCCTTAATATTTCTATTTGGGTCTTTTACATGGACTATAATCTTAATTCACTACACTTGTCACTTAACCTTATATATGGTGTGTACCTGTACTCCCTTGGATTAACTTATCTCTTATAATTACTTCACCCAAAGTTTGAATCTCCCCTTACCTCTCTTATATCCTATGACTGTCGTGTTATGAATTGTAGCATCAGCATTCATTAGCAAAGAAATGAAAGTTTTCCTTATAGACTTCAAAAACAATGTTACATGTCTCTTTGTGTACCGACACTTCTCACTTAAATCCTTACAAGCTTTAGGATTGTAATGAACAACATGGAAAAGAACCCAACAGAGTTTGAATAGTATTTCAAAGAGAGTATTTTTTGTAATGAAGTCATTATCTAACTTATTTCTAGCATGTTGATGAAGTAACCAATCATTGAGTCAACAAAAATGGCAAACAGCATTGAATGGAATCATAGCATTAGTAAATTGGAAATGTTATCGGGACTCCAAATTCTGTTGTTGGCATTCTAAAATACCTGAGCTATCGCACTTGATAATCGTAAATCCAAAGTTACTGATTTTGTCTTCAAAGTCTTGCTGACACAGGATTTTTTACCTCTCTTATTGTCATCACCTATTTTAATACGAACGCCACATTTATCATTCAAATGGCACAAAATCTCTGATAGTTCAATAGCCTCTGATGAGTCACTTGATTCATTAGTTTCTAATGATGATCCACTGCATTCTTCACATGTATGATTTAAGTCACCGCATACTGCAGAATGAGAACCCAACTTGACATGAATATCACAGGTTCCATTTTCTTTTTTGTGGAGACCTCCATTTGGTAGGATATTGGACGTGCTATATTCTCTTGCCTTATTATGACTCTTATTTGATTGAAAACAGTCATTGCTACTATCTTTCAATGTTGTATATGTCTCCATTTCCTTTCGGAATGGTTCCAGATGATCAGTTAACCTATGGTTCTTACAAGAATCAACAATATTGTTAGAAAGGAGAATCCCAGAGCCAGATCCAGACAGCTGTGTGAAACCATCATCGCCTAAAATGGAATTACTTCTTTTAGCAATAGTCAAAAGCTCCTCTATCTCCAATAGCTGTTTCAAGTCAGCACACTGTTGAACAGCACGTTCATATCCTTGCTCCCAAACCAATATAGCCTCCACTCTCTTACCCATCGCAGATAAAGCACGGCCTACATGCAAATATGAAGCATCAAAATTGATGATGTTTCAGTGAAACTAAAAATAAAGCTAACCAAAAACTGTCCATAGCTCTAACGTTACCATTTTCTATGGAGGACTGGAGATTGAAAATTTATAAACTGGAAAAAATGTTTATCAAAAAAAGGAAGCAATTTTATTTTGGGTTTTGCTAAATCCACACCTTTTATCAAAAATGGGCAAATCTATCCTTAAATTGAAAAATAATAAAAGGCAACATGTGGACTAACCTAAGGGTAAATTTGGACATTTGTCATTAATGGGGTGGACTTAGCAATACCGTTTTATTTTTCCAATTCTGTTACTAAATTAGTATGCCGTGTTATTCATTTTATCAACAGGAAATCAGCAGTCTCAAACAAACAACAACAACAACCCAGTTGAATCCCACTACAATAGGGTCTGGGGAGGGTGTGTGTACGGCTGTACGCAGACCTTGCCCCTACTCGGAAGCAGGGAGGCTGTTTCCAAGAGACCCGCGGCTCAGCAGTCTCCAGATAAATCTAAATACAGCACAGCAGTTCACTTTTCTACTAAATTCAAGTAGAAGATGAACCTCACAAACAGTACCATATATTAAGTTCCTTAGTCAACAAAAGCAATCAGTCCTCTCAGCATGCAACAGAATCAGGCAATACATATGATACAGAATGAGATACACCACATGAAACAAAAAACTACAAATCTGCACCCTTTGCATGTCTGATTGTCCAGCCTTTTTTCCAGCAACTCCACAGACAGGACACAATGAAGAATGGCCTACCAGATATGGCGTTGAGAGTTTGAGACCTTGCTTTACTAAATGAATGAATAATTTTTCAAATCCCTCTAAGATGGCAAGATTGCATGGTGAAAGGAGTTGAACAATGAGCAGTCTAACAGCCAAAAGTTGGATTTGGATTCCAGAATTTATCATACTCATGCATGGAATAATTGAAATTTCCCCTTTCCATGCCTCATATTTCATATATCTTAGTAGATTTTCCATTCAACACATAGAAACATTCAAACAAACTTTACTTAATGCTCAATCAGTCCCATCACTGATCCAGGTAGCTTAGTACCACAATGGGGGAAAAACATTACAGATTTTTAGAAAAAGTAATGATACCTATAAATCTTCAAAGCTGGTTGCAAAGATCTCGATTTTCAAAATGCTTGTCTAAAACAACTATCTATGCTTCTCAAATTGTTGCATTTGATCAGTTAAATCACCCAATACAACATAAGGGAACATTAAATTACAAAAAAAAAAAAAACAATTAAGAACCTTTGAGCGTGTAAGGTTGTAGTACGGAAGAATCCAGCTGAATGGCCTTATCACAATCCTTGATAACATGCTTGTGAAGCTCCAGTTGACTATAGCAAAAGGCTCTATTGCTGGAGAAAAAATATATCAACTCGCTACATTTCAATTCAGAGATAAGTTTAAGAAGAATGGAGTTGATATGGTAACGGTGAATTGGAGTGAACAAAGAAAATGAGAAGCTTAACAAACCAGATGTCTTGGATGCGGTGGCTACTGGAAAGAAGAGAATCGAGAACTCGAATTGCCTTTGACCAATCCTTAGCGCTGCACAGCTTCGCCAGTTCGATTCTGTCGGCCACAGTCGACGCCATCGGGAAAGGAGTGTAGAAAGGCCGACCAGCCGGAAATGGAAAATGTATTCCTGATCATCGGTTTGATCGGGGATGAGGCATGTTCTTCGGGAATATATTTTGTACAGTATTCAATATTCAATTGAGAGTATTGAATAAGAATTTTAAAAAATCTTTAAAAATTTCTAGGTATTCAAAAGTCCGTGAATTTTAATACTACATGGACTTTGATGGATTCAACCAAATCAAACATCGAATCGGACGAGGGACTAGGTCAGAGGTTAACCGATTGAACGGGGGCCAACTCGGGTCAACGAACCGGTCAACGGTCATTACTCATTAGCAGTCCGACCAATAATTTTACTAACATAATGATATGTAAACGTTATTCCAAAAAATATATATGTATCCTATATAACGAAATATTTATGATGCTAACTTTCAAAAATTATATTTAAAGCATACAAAGATTATTTACATATGCATTGCACTAACTTTCATGCTCCATATAAGATTAAACAAAAATCAAAACTCAAAAAGAAATTGTACCATGTTTTTTTAAGTTTTTTAAAAATAAACGAGTATCAAATCACCAAAAGCAACATCATCATTCTCATTTCCATTCATCCCACGGTTAAATCTTCAACTTCTTCAAGAATTGTAAGCTCTTCATCATTATCATTGTTGTTTTCTTTATCAAGTCCTGCAACAATATACAAAAAAATTGGTGTAAATAATTCAAATATACCAGGTACCTAATTGATGTAAAGAAAACTAAATGAATCATTAAGAGGTTAAAATATACCAATAACTCTATAATCTGATGGTATAGAATCTTTAGGTTCAATTTCTTCAAGCATCTCCTCCAATTCATCATAATCAAGTTCTCCTTGTTGATCTTCCTTCACAACCCAAAACTCATTTTTGTCAATCGATTCAGAATCAACCGGGTCATATGATCTCTTTGCATATTTGAGCCTTTGTGTTAAATACATCATTCAATATAGTGAAGATTTGTATACATTTTGTAAATTAAATAAAAAAATTAGTATGAAACATACATGTTTTCAATCGTAGGTTATAATGAACATACACAAGATCATTGAGTCTTTGGTGCTCCAGACGATTCCTCTTTTTTATATGAATTCGTTCAAAAATACTCCAGTTTCTCTCACAGTCAGAAGAATAAGCCGTTTGGCTAAGAGTTCGAATAGCTAACTCTTTCAAATTTGGAGCATCACCACCAAACATTCTCCACCATTCATCTATTGCAATAGTAAAAAAAATAGCAAAGTATAGAGTTAAAAGTTTTGATACTAAGTTCTAAAAATAAAAATGCATCAGTTATATATGTTTCTTACCCGAACGTGAATCATGTGATGTTGTAATTGCAAAAGCACTTCCAAAGGATCCCAATCTCTCGCGAAATAGTCTAATCTCATCCAACATCTTTTTCTTATCTCCTACATTTTGAGTGCTAATGACATGCATCTTCAGAGATTGTTAAATCTTCATTTGAAGTAATTTTCTCGTTGATATTATTTTGCTTCAAACATAACCTATTTTATTTTTAAATTTTCTTAGTTTCACCTTTTTTGAACCAAGTGATCTGCCATGCTTTTTGCATACTGAAGACTCATTTGCAAAAGCTCTTTCATTATTATTTAAAGAAATTTCAATTCAAGTAGGAGCATTATATTCATAGCAGGAATACGTTACTTTGTCACTTTATTCGAGTCCGTGAATACGTGGGGTAATTAATTTGTAACATTTTGTAAATGAACTATTTTTGTACTTCTTGTTCACACGCGTTTGTGCTTGAGTCAAAAAAAGATAATTATGTTGCGTTCCATGTAATCTCTTTTGTACATGGGTCCTTTTTCCCATTTTATCCTTATAAGGCTGGGAACACAATCTCATTACAATGGCAGTCAATGAACTGTGCTGTGAATATATCACCAGTTTTAGGTTCAAGATATTTTCTAATTGATGGGGAATCGAAACCAACATAAATTCCCAGCCTCATTTGAACACTCATTTTTGTACAATGTGGTAGAGCAATTGGTACGTATTAGACACACCTAAATTTATCTTATGTGTGCAACATTTGGTTCTTTCCATGTAACCAATTTAACAAGACTATTTTGAGTGTGCACTTAAGCAAGTGAGTGCCCGACATGAATTTCAATAGACATGCAAGAGTCATTAAATGATTGAAATGTAAATTCTTAAGCATTATCAACCTGCTTTTTTTATTGAGTGGTCTAAAAATTGAGTTATCAAATGTATGATTTAAGCAATGAGTTTTGCGTGCAAAATTTCTAGTAGATAAAAGACTAACATGTTACCAATGTGTTGTGCACCGATTAATATCATAAAATAATAAAATGGTTCACATGATGGGGCAATTGGCTCACAAATATGTCATTGAATTCTTTCTAAAATGCAAGAGATTCAACTTCATTTTTATTTAAAGGTAGCCTGACAATCATTTTTCCAAGGGAGTATACAACACATGAAAAATCAATTGTTCTTGAAATCCTTATATTTTTCAATAGATGTCTAAGTGAATTTTGAACTATTTTATGTATCAGTATACTACGTGAATGACCCAAACGGTCATGCCCCAAAAGGAATATTTTATGGTCATCTAGTTTTTTATTAGAGATAACTTTCACTTCAAGAGGACTAATGTGAGTATAATATAATCTCGAGGAATACGCTCGCATGTTTTTATAACAATTTTACTGCCAGATTTAGCTATTGTTTGACATAAATACTTTTTTATTTTCTGTCATGGTTTCAATGTGATAACTATTCTGACACATATTTTTATCTTTAAATCTTAATAAATTCATTCAGGATTTGCTAGAATTGAAAGTAATACGTCTTTGATAATAAATTTTGTTCCTTGAGGAAGTATTAAACATGCCATTTTAGATCCTTCAATGAGGTTTGCAATACCAGAAACTGTATTGATATTAGTTTCCACTAACGTCTTGAGAAAAATATTCTTTATTTTTCAAAATAGTGTGCGTTGTGTCTTGCACTGTCTATCAAACATTATTTTTCTTTGCCACTAAAACCATAAGGAGTTAACTCCAAATCTTCAAGAGGAGCAATGTTTTGGGATATGAGCAACTTCGTGATAATAACATACGGAGTATTTAAAAATACTCAGAGATTATTTATAGAAAAGATATATATTCTGAGCTATATTAATCTTGATTCCCAATGGTGTATTTGCAGGGATTCTAAGACTCTATTTATAGTGTAGAAGTTTATTAGAAAAATTATTACTCCGTATAAAATAATATAGGTACCATTCAAATGATCATTTGATGATAATGATAGACAATTTTTTCCTGTAATTATGATGGATATTATTGGAACTTGACTCTATTTAATTGAATAAATGATAAATTCACATATTTCATAACAGGAGTATAAGATTTTTTGTTGTATTTTTAGAAGTTACTCATTATGGTAAGAAGAGCTCAAACCACAGTTTATGTCCCTTCTTTCAAACTTTAAAACCCTTGGGCGAAAGGTTTTCAAGTCTCCCTCTTTCACGCCTCTAAAGCCCTACTACTGGTATTATTCACAAGCATCGTTTTCAGCAGAACTGATGAATCCTATCGAGGAATCCGATGTGGGCATATCTTGCTTCATTTCTCAGCTCCCCGGATTCCGCGGAATCCTCAAACAAAGGTCTTTAGCTCTGCAAAGATATCTGATGCATAGATATTCATGTGCCGCGTGTGTTTGAATTATCTGTTTACAATCGGATTATATATGCATTGGATACGGTTGGCTGCAGGGGAACGATCCATTTTGCAATTGAAACTTGGTGGGAGGGCTGGGGGCAGGGATCAGAAATAGAATCCCCTGCAAAGGGTGGACTAATTGAACATTTGTTATGCTTGATAAGAGTGATTCTTCAAGTGTTTTGTTCTTTCCAACTTATGTGTAATTGTGTGCTGTTGAGTACGTGGGAGAATTAGAGAAGTCCGTGGATACTTTCTGGAAATGGACAGTCTAATAAGGAGTATTCCCCAACTGGAAATTGTTTTCCATATTGTTTGCAGAGTTTCATTTGCCTTATAGATTCATACCATTCTACTCCACAGTCCACATCTTCTTCATGCATTTGTAAATGGATTTTTTAGGTAAGCAAAAGTGAAATAGTCAATTGTTTTGCAGGTATTCTGACTTTATTGTAAATGAAGTGGATTTGGAAGGCAATGTTGTTCATTTAACTTCATTAGATGCTCCCCAGGAGGTAAGGTTTCACAGGAGTAATCTTTTTGTTGTCTATAATGAAAAACAAATGACCTGGCTCTCAAATGTGAATCATCGACAGTAAAAGCTGTAACTTTATGCTTACCAGGTACATGAAGAAAAGGAGGTAAAGGTTACTAATCCACTCGACAGAAGCTATGCAAATGAGATAGAATATTTCAGATCGCTTGCCACCTGTGATTCTGATGCTGACAAGCTCAAAAGTTTTATAGACAAAATTAGTTCAGGCGCCGATGTCAGTGATGAACACATACTTCTTACACCGAGCTCTGATAAATCACGTCGGACAGTCAGTTCCAAACTTTTGATCGGCTACCTAGCTGTCATTTTGTTTATATCTTTTTTGGCTTTGTCCACATTCTAGACAACCTACATGGTTGCATTTCAGGAGATTCATAATTTTATCAAGGAAAAGATGAGATTTCTTGTTACAGACACTGTTGATGGGCCCGATAACTCCTCAAAGTGTATTCGTGTAAGGTTGAATGTTGGAGGTAATAGCGGGAGGGGTAAAAATTCCAGGAAAAGGAAAGATCGAGGTGAAAAGCCCTATGATAGTAGAGGTTCAGATCATTGGCCCCAAGAGCTTGGCAAGTTTCTTAGGTGAAGTTCTCTTATGATTTTATATGCTTAACTCTCCATTTCACATGGAAAAATCTAAGTTATATGCACTCTGACTCATGCGTCCCCAAGTTGAATGAATCGTTTGCTCCTTGGATTACGTGACATACCATCACCAAGCATATTGTTGTGAAATAATAATCTCTACATTCATGAGCCTACCATGTATTAGTCTTTATTAAATTTGTCAAATGATTTTAAATGCCTATATTAGTTGATTATTGTGATCTTATGGGGGCATGTGGAGTGTGGGCATAACTTCAAAGAATCTCTAATAAGTTTTGACATGCACACCATAAAGGAGCTATCAGATTTCTTTGAAGAATGGCCCATTTTTTATAGTTATATAGATAATAGATTACAAGTTTACATCTGAATCTGATTTAATCAGTGTACAACCAAAGTTATATTATTGATTCCACAATAATGTAGGTTAGATCAATATAATTGATTCAACTATTGGTCTTAATCCTTGCAGCAAATGACTTGATGCACTTAGATGCTTTTTTCATGTTTCATGAAATTTGAACATTCTGTCATTTCTCTGCAATTTGATGGTTTTATTTAGCTGTCTTTGGCATTAAGTTGCACTTTAACTCTTAAAAGATGTCTTCTTAAGTGCAATCCTGAAAACAATACTCAGATTTCATCTTTACAAGGAGAACAAGGATACACAGGATGCTCTAGGTCTTATTGCAAAGATGCTTGGCATTCAGGTATACACAATGCATTTACTTATGATTTATCCTCCTACTGCTGAAAAGACATGATTGTTATCCCCAGTTCCCCACATATGGGCTATGGATGCAATCTTTTCCTATGCGGCTGTACTGAACTTAGAAAGAATGGAGAAAATTTACAATTTCTTACATCCTTATTATCCCTTGCCATACATCTTGTAAGGGCTTTATATGATTAGCATTTATTTTATTTCTATTATGTATTACTCTATGATGTGAAGTTGAATGATGATACACATGTCAGCCTAGGTCATTTGGATTTGCTGGTACAAAAGATAAACGTTCCGTTTCGACACAAAGGGTAAGATTTTGGTTCTTTTTTCTTTAAAATCAGTATAAACATTGATGTACTCGCTGCTCATAAGAATCTCTCTACTAATGTTTATTATTGGTATATCCTTCAAAGGTCATACACTTAAAATTCTACAACAGAACAACAAACCAAGTAAAATCCCAACAAGTGGGTATGTGGGTTAGGTGTACGCAGACCTTACCTCATCCTACAAAGGTAAAAAATAAAAATGTTTTTCCTAGGTTGCACTGGGATAGGTGTGAGTACATCTATGGGGGCTAGGATGGAAAATGGCATTTTTAAAAATTACACAATGCAGGAACGACAAGGATTCGCTAACAAAAAATATTAAAGCACTCCCTCCGTCCGGAAATGTTCTCACTTTCCTTTTTGGCCCATCTGGTCAAACTTCCTTTTTCGCTTACTTTTTAAGGGCAAATGTCAATAACACCCTCCTATTTTAACACCCACCCACCCAAATTAATTCACTCCCAAATTAAAGTAGGGGCATTCATAGAAGTTTGACACTCTTTTTTCTAATCCTAAATAAGCGTGCCAAGTCAACATGTGAAGAACATTTCAGGACGGAGGGAGTACTAAATATAGGAGTGCCAACGTAAAGAATAATAATTAATTAGCATAAAACAATTCAATGTCTTATGTGATATGACAACATGTTAAATAACTAAATACTTGTACTATCAAGGGTATTATGTTGGGTTATTCGGTGAAGGCTTTAGAGCTGTGGGCTTTAAGCCTGGTCGGCTAAAGGGAAGAAACATGGGGGGCCGGTTTTAGTTATTAATTAAAGGGCCCATTAGTTGTTTCTTGTTTAGCAAGTTGTTAACCCTAGTTTATATCTTATAAATACCCAATCATGTAACTATAATCTGTGAGCACCTAATAAAAGATAAACCCTAGTTGCAACCCGTGGAGTAGGTTACTGACCGAACCACGTTAAATCTCGTGTTCTTATTTCTGCTATTTGTGTGTGTGTGTGTGTGTTTGTTCGCTTCCGCTTGACCGCCTCTGATCTCTGATTCCTAACA